CAAATGTCATGAGGCATCATGTCTCTAGAGCACATAGGGCCCATTTAGCAACTCCAGCACATTGCAGGGTTGAATGGGGACATTACTGGCGTTCGCTTGAGCAACTCGATGATCAACGGAGCACAGGAACAGGTTATGCAGGAGGTACGTGCAGGCACGTGGAGGCCAACATTTGGAAAGCGAAAATTAGATAAGCGCAGGTTGAACATGATAAGGTGAATAAACACTAAGTGAACACAGAATAACGCACGTTCCTCACGACCTTTCGATGCAACAAGTTTTGAAGCGAGCCGTACAAGAGACATTTGAAGGAACAACAATGTATCGACAAAGGTGCAGTCACTTTATTAATGCGATGGGATTGTATTCAAGGTTTCCTTACGAAGGTCATCCCAAAAACAACCAACCTGAAACTCGACTTTGTCGCGAAGTTTCTCAAACATGCTCAGTACATCCACGAACGATGGACGTTGATCGCTCTCGAAGGTCCAGCAGAGCTGCATTATTTTGAATCTAGAAAATATACAGGTTGGTGTACTGAATCAGTAAACCGAACTGTGAGAGGGAAATATACAGGGGGGGGGCAAAAAAAGTCATTTTGCCTCCATGACTTTCAAGGCGCTATAAGTTACACTTTATTAAATTTTTATCGGACATTTTTACTACCATATTAAAGAGCACATTAATATACTCCGCCACAGCCTTCTGGAGGAGCGCCATCGAGAGATTCGGCCGCGCGAAAGTGAGTGGGTACCGGAGTTGAGCGAGATCGTTGATTTCTCCGCCACCGTAGACCTTGAACTCCGCCCGACTAGGTAACTGAGTGGATTCAGGTCAGGGGACATACTTCAATATTACATCTTCTTAGGTACGAAACGCCCTTCCATTCGAAGTAGGCGGAGTTTTTCCAAAACCCTTTGATTCCATGTGGTGGCACCCAAACCTGTAGCAGCACAAGGTCTCCAAGAAGGTACGGGCGACCACATGTAGGGAGGATATTCTTCTCGAGTTACTTGATGTAACCGCCAGCGCTCACCTTCAGTCGGGGTCTACAAAGAAAATATCGGTCTTTCCCTTTCCAGGTACCCCGGTCCATACCATCAACTCGCGCCTCGGCGAATACGGTGAAGATGATGTCCTAGACCGTAGCGACGTTGCCGTAGCTGGTCGATGTGGGAGGTCTTGCAGATCAAGAGTACTGACCTCCAGGTAGCTATCTGTGGATGACTTCATTCAAGAAGTTTCGCAGCTGTTTGGAGGCGACGTGAATTCCAAAGGTGTTCTCCAGTCAGGCCGCGACTGGAGATGACTTCATATTTTGGTGGCGTCACATGGAGGCGATTGGCGGCAGCGTGCTCCAGCTTATAGAGGAAGATCTTGGGTATCTTCCACTCTGGTACTCATATCCACTTCCCCTGTCTGGGCTGCGAAAACTTCGTTGATATGTGGCTCGGCCGAAATGACTTTTTTTTGACCCCCCCCCTGTACATTTACACAATGGTTACACCAAGAGTGAGCACATCGCCTTTTGCTAAGTCTTTTGATAACGCATAGATTCCATTCCTACGGGGTCATTGCCTGATGACTTCTCCGTCTGGTGAGCTAAAACAGTTGGTAAGCGTTTCAAATATTCTTGTGCTTCACGAGGTTGTTAGGTGGAACATTTATTAGAAATGGCTTAACGTTTTGACGTAGTTGTCGCCTTCAGAGGCCTGAATGTGTTTCAAGCATAAGATATGCAACCTCCACACCAAGCACCTCCTCAACTCTAGCGATTCTGACGTCGTGTCAGGGACCCCTCGAGAGGACGCCAATATCGCAAGACAGAGACTCACTAGTGGTTTCTTCATTTGAGCGGATAGGTCCGCTGCCACACTAGAGCGCTGTCGGTAGGAAAATGAAGAATACGACGTTGTCTCCGTATAATGACATATCAAGGAGACGCACGTCACGCTCTGTCATTCTACAGTCCGCAGTGGGGTATAAACGGTAGCAGGTCATTTGTGATGGCAGGACACTCATCAATGTTTTTTTAAGCTGTTTTGTTATGATAACTGCTGACGCCGCAAGCAATGCGTGTACGCGTTCCGAATGTTATCACAAGAATGCTGAGTTGTGGGCAAAAGTCGTGCCCCAGGCGGGAGTCGAACCCGCACCTCACGCTTTCCGGGCGAGTGCGCTATCCGTTACGCCACCAGGGCCGCTTTTACCCTCTCAGCTTAACGGCTTTTATGCCGTAGCCTATAAGCCTTCGGCTCGCAGTTGTTCATGCGATATGCCATCGATTACGGCTGACCGGCTCACCAAGTTAAACGTGTGAGTGCTGATAGGCTACGGCATAAAAGCCGTTAAGCTGAGAGGGTAAAAGCGGCCCTGGTGGCGTAACGGATAGCGCACTCGCCCGGAAAGCGTGAGGTGCGGGTTCGACTCCCGCCTGGGGCACGACTTTTGCCCACAACTCAGCATTCTTGTGATAACTCATCTCTGTTGTTCATTCTGGGTTTTCTAGTGAATATCCAGAATGCTTCCAACGCTTTTGGCTGAAAGTTCCGTCTCATTTGCCAGCACACTGCACTTTATTTCGAATTCGATCCCATCATGTTCCACAACCTTATGCCTCCCGAGAGCAGTTGTAAGAGTACCGCGTCTCATGCTAGCAAGATGTTCCTTGATACGAGTAGCCAAGACCCTTCCTGTCTCCCCAATATATGTGGAGTTACATGCCCGACACTGGATTTCATATATTACTCCCAATTGCGCACAGTCACCAGTTTTCCCGTGTGGGCAAGTAACACAATTTTCTGATATGCACTGCTTGTCGTAGAGCCTGTTACGGACCAGCTGCTGTTTGATGTTTTCATTTGGTATATTTACCAACTGGACATCGTCCTGCAGCTGTGCTCTTGCTATGCTCCGTTTGATTGCAGCGCTTACCACATCAGAAATGAAGGGGATACATAAAGGTATCTTGTTTCGACGCGGTACGCCTTGTGGACCAATATGCCGCCTTCCCCGAGGGCGTGGTGCCGTATAGCCATTCATAACGGCTATTTTTGTGGCAAGCTCTCGTGATTCTTGTCGTTCTACATCTCCTGTGCACATTCCCGTTGCCGTTCGGAACATGTTTCGGACAACAGCGCGTTTCACAGCAATCGGGTGTGCTGATGTAGCGTGAATCAGGATGTTTTTCGAGCTGCTCTTCCGGTACCATCAAGTCAGCTTAATGTACTGTGACTGTTCATTCATCACTCGAAAACACTCATCAATTTCGGACTGTGTTGATGTTACGATGAAACAGTCTATGGCTAGCCCTCTAATTTGAGAACAGTATGTACCTATTTAAAGATGTTACAGTTCAAACATTCCTTGATTAGAGTCATTATGTGTGCTTTACCAAGTCCAAAGGTTCGTATATTAGCAATATGCCTGTCAAGCATTTCGGATAATGTTAGCACACCTACTCAACGCCGGATATCATGCATGGGCTGAATAACACTTGAAAGCCACCACCATTCCAAATGGCTGGTGCATCTCGAAGGGATGTTACACTTTTTTGTCTCACTAATGTAGCTGCTCAACGGCGAAGGACCCCCTGCATGCGCGGCCACTTCGTAGGGACTACTATTCGAGCTCCTTGCCCTGGATCCGCACTTGGCAAAGGAATCCCCGCAGAAAACGGTGCTCAAGTGGAGCCTTAGGAAGAGAGACCCTGAGTGTGAGAGTCACAGACTCAGCCCCTTTTCGATCGCACTGACTCCCATTCTTCTTCTCTTAAAGGCACAGTTCGCGACCGCAAATTGCGGGAAACGGAACTCAAATAGGCACAAAAAAGTGCTAAGTATCTGATTAGCGGAGAAAAGCAGCAGAAAAAGCAGTCCGAAATGTTATAGAGAAAGATAACATAGTGGCTACTAGCTAGTAGCTAGCAGCCGGTGAGGGTCGGCATGGGCCTAAGGGGTGTCCATGGGCCTAATTAGTCAGCTTCTAGCGGAGTTCTTGCCGTTTTTCACATTTTGAAAGTAGCGCAGCCTCAAAAATCGCCTTCCGGATCGTCCGACACATTTGAGAGGTCATAGCCTTATTTTATCGCGGAATGTGCCTTTAAGTCCTTCCGCTTGTGTACTCCCTCTTTTAGACCCTTCTCGACGCAATTCGACTTCAACGTGGGGGGGGAAGGGGCTCGTTTTGCACTTTTACTTTCCATCAATAGGCTGAGCCATCATTAGTGACCCGTGACATCTTGTGAAGCCACGAATGAAAACGCCCCCCCCGTCTGCCCAAGCCGAACCGCGCCCCAAAGGAAGCCACCACGCGATATAGGAACTTGTTTACCGATGTTGAATTTACGCACAAGTTCATTTGACTATGTAGTTCTGAAAGAGACTCACAACGGATCAGGGCAGTAGACAGGCTTTGCGGGAGTGCCTCCATTCCGAACATGTGTGAGAACCTAGTAAATGAAAACTTTGCAAGGAAATCGGACAATGGCGTCAAACAAACGTACCTGATTATTATCCATGTTCAAGTAAGGTTTCTGACCCAGACTAACAATTTCATACATTAAAATACCAAAGGCCCAAATGTCGCTTTTCGATGAGAACAAACCATCCGTGATACACTCGGGAGCTAACCACCTGTAACAGAACAAAAATACTTTTACTAGAAAGAGCGTGAGTTTTCCTGGTAGGAACTTCCACGATGGGAAACCTCTGGTCAGGTGTATAGCGGATTGACGACCTCAGCATCTTCTTACCGTTAAAAGGCTGCACTGAAACAATTCCGCCCTAACTGGAAGGACAGTCTTCTTCGCTACGACTGCTGATGCGTGTCAAGAATAGAGGTGGGTTTGGCGCGTCAGCCAGTTTCTCGCCAGTCCACTTATGGATAACGTTTCGGCGCCGCGCCAAACCCAGTCCCCCCTGACACGCTCTAGCATCTGCAGCGAAGATGACTTCAGACTCCCTCCTTTGCACATACTTCATGATTTTTGCGAGGTTTGACCATTAAACTACTACAGTCACGTCTGACGAAGGCACTAATGCATGCCTGCCGATAACTAAGGCAACTCCAGAGCTTTGAACAATATTCAACCTTCACCTATGGGGGAGGCCTTTAACTGAGGCCACGTTTTGGGGCGAAGTAGCTCTTCTAAAAACAAGTAAACATACCTTAGTGGAAGGAAGTCCTCTCCACGAACACGGTAATATTCACTATTGTACACGCCTCGAGCAAGACCAAAGTCAGCTGAAGACGGATGCATTAAGAAAATCGATTTAGTCCTCAGATACTGTTAGTAAAGAAGTCTAATGTATTAGTGCAACAGTGACGCTAAATTGTTTACACATAATTCAAAGTTTTCATAGGGAAATCGAGCAGCAGCAATGACCTGCACAATTTGCTTCCCAATTCCGCTTGGGGCACTCTTTGGAGATCTTACTTTGTACTAGATGAGGAGGGAGGAAGAGAAGGGAGCCTCTTCACTGACTGGTCCCTAGAACTCACTTTCTAGCCAAACACCTTTTTGCCTCTGGGGTCCTGAGTGGTCGAGAACTGTTTCCACAGGAACTGCACTGCCTAGGTAGCGTTTAGGCTCGCACTTCTCAGATAAAACGTTTAATAGGCAAGCTTGTATCTATTAACCATCCTCAGATGATCCTCAGATATTCTTCTTTGGGCAGGTTCCTCAGAAGGAGGATCATGTCTTGAGCTGTTAGTGGTCACCGACGAGCAACGTATCAGATTGGTGAAAAAGCAGAAAAGTTCTACATTCTACACTACAATGAATGTCTATTTTCAGAAAACACGTGATTTTTGCTCTTCTAATTATCTGCTATCTGCACGCTGTGAATCACTACAACGTTGACAGACACAGCATGCAAAGCTGTTCACCACTGCTCACACGAGCATTCACCTTCGTCGTCACCCAAAGTGATGTCGTTGTGGAAACGCAGCGCACCTATCTTCGTGACACGATGTGAACGAGGGGTTCGTGAACTGATCAGACAATTCCTTGCAGCCAAATCTCGATGAACATGCCGAATCGACTCCAAGTACGCTCCTCCTCGACCGATATCAATTAACATCGACAGCACATCACGTAAGGAGAGTTGAGATGGATATGAATCAGTTGGTGAACTGAAATAGAGGAAAATCCCACTAAACTCTCGTAAGGAGTGAAGGACAATGAGGTCGCTAAGTAACCTACCTCGCCTTCAGGAAATTCAGAAGATCACCTCCTTCCATGAGCTCGAGAATGAGGTATTCCTTTGGACCTTCGAGACAAACGCCCAAAAGTTTCACAATGTTCGGATGGTCGAAGTTGCTGAAGTCATTATGTCAAAGTGGAACACGGAAAATCACATTAGGTGGTTTGGAGGCTGTGAACTTTGGAATCTTCACGAACAAAAAATATTCCCAGAACTCGCTGCAGTGGTAAGCCTCTCCGCATTTTTCCGTTCCGCAAAAACGGAAGAAAAAGGCCCTGTAGCAGGAATTAGGAGTTTTCCTAGCTGCACATATGTACTCACTTCATAAGAAATAGCCGTCGCTTTCATGAATGTCTGTTTTTTCGGATTCCTCAATACCTTGGCGTAGTGTCTGAAAATACCAGATAACTCCTTCTACCTAGAACTTCTAGAGCTCACTCAACTCACCTTTATGGCCACTCTTGTTTCTCGATCTCTCATTGGTAGGCGGGTAGCAACACCTTCCCATACTTCTCCAAAGCTGCCTGTGCCCAACTTCTTTTCCAAGCGAACATTGTCGGAATCGGACATAGGAATCTATATAAAGTTCTTGTTATGGTTGAATCGCAAAAAACTAGTAGCATCTACCACACTCCATAGAAGAATGGTAGAAAGGCGCAATGGCTAGCATAGCAGAAGGATTTGGAAAGGCACCACGGCTGACTATCTTTACCCGCATGACCGCTGGGGATTGCACATTCACAAGCAAGTTATACAACATCTCGCTCGTGTGATCCGCCTTTTTGCGCGTCATTGAGGGGAAAAATTATTCTGCAGCTGCAGTAGCGTGCCACTTTTCTCAGGTCAAAATGTCGCAGGAACAAACCTCCAGAGTAGGTGGTAATCCGCCGGGCGATCGTATCTAGCACAATCCGCGTGCGCATACCATATTTTGCTGCGGACCATGCCACGCGCTAGCCAGTATATAGCCAACTTGCTGTTGGCCTAGCCCACTCACTTCTTGATTGTTACTCTCTCGCTGAGTGCGTGTTTCAACACAATGCGCACAGATGAGAATAAGCACGTGGGGGTGCGGAAAGAATGGTACGGCAGCCAGCTAGTCACTAGACAGCTCAGGCTCAGTTAACCTTTCAACGCTTAGATAGAGAGTGAGACAAGAACTATTCAGCTACGGAGTCATTCCCCCCTCCCATCGCGAACGTATGGGCCAAGACCAGGATTCACGAAGGTGGGTGCAACAGCTTGTTTTGATTCGGCATTTTGCAAAAAGTTATGCCATGTGGTCACACTTGTGATGGCTGCAGCATTGACAGTAAAATTACTATGTCTTGGAAGCGGCAAGTATAGGCCTACTCGGTCCGATACACTGTCCGTAAAGGCTACCTCCAAACGTACTTCATGGCTAACTGATTAGAACAGGTCAGGAAATGTAACGACGCTGATATGGCGTTTCGGTTACTGAGCTCACTTTTAATTCGTTCAGCATTTCAGGTGGCATCGGCTGGCAAGGACTCTGATCGAGGCCAGCAAGTTTCTCAAGTGTAATACAGTTCTTGTCCAGATTTCGTTCCTTCTTTAATCGGGCGGCTCTAGCGCGAGCATCGATCGGAACGAAAAAGCTAATATTAGTCATCATACCGCTCTATCTTACGTACGTAAAAGAACCATACTCATCAGGAAAATGAGTGTGAGCAGCACTAGAATCGCAATCAGCGACACAGTGAGCACAACGTAAAGCCAAGACTGCGAGGTCTCTTCAGCAGCTGGTGGCACTGAAACATGGCAATCAAGTGTATTAAGCACTTAGTGCAGCTATCAGACGCTTACCTACGGTGTCACTTGAATATCCGTACGCCCCGAAACCTTCGAGATTGGCCGCTCGCACTCTGAATTCCCACGGCTGACGACGGTCACTTTTGGCCGGTCTCCACCACAGCTTCCAACCGTCCAATCCTCGTTCAGCAATCTCCCATTCAGCGGAACGGTTGTGGCGCATCTGGAACTCAGTGAATGCTTGAGGCCGCCACAACTATAACTACGCAGCAAACCCGCTGCCACGGTTTGAGACTAGGCCGGATCACAGTTAGCATGTCAACGGCCCTCTTGGAAACATCGAGAGTACGCTCAATGCTATGGGATTCTCGCTCAAACTTTCTACTTCCCCCCCCCACGTGGTTTCTGAACCCTTCCAGAGCCAAACTTTTATATATTCGTCTGAAAACAAGTTCTACAACGCAATTTCAAGGCATCAACTCACATGAAAAGTCAATACACCTAGCTTTCACCGAGCATCTTATTCCCGTTTCCCAAACTGAGTTGTAGTGCGCGAGCCACATGCACAGCAGGGTTATCCTACAATGGCTGCTTCACCCAAGCTTTACTGTTCCTCTTCAAAGGGTGCATTATAATACCATACGTGCCGTTCAGTGGGGAGCCTCAACGAAGGGGTCGTAGTCGCTTGGTGGAGGGAGGGGGTGTCGTATTTCTTTTCGAGAGAAGGTTTAAATGTTAGATCTTATCCCTTTTCTCCTTTTGAGCGCTGTGTACATCTTCCCCCTCCTTCGCCCCGCTTGAAGGTAGTTTTTAGGAGAAAACTGGCGAGCTGTGAGAGAAATAAACTTTGGGAAATTTTTAACAGAGAAGGAACTCGGGGGGGGAGGGAAGAAAGAGGGGCACTCCGTTTAGTCAATCCTTTTCTCTGACGGCAGTACACGCCCTGACTACGAGCTTCTTGACATGACCACATCAGAGGATCATTTTGTTAGCAGCAACATGCTTGTACCTCAACAGCATAACTAGTAATCGGCGAGCCACCATCGCTGGTTGGTTCTTTCCACGATACAATCCATCCCTCTTCGTCCATTCGGGCTTCCACTTGCACCGGTGCAGTTGGCACACCAGCTGAACAGAATGACTAGTGCAAGCGAGAATAAGGACAAAATGTAAAGCAGAAATTGCCTTTAGAGGTACTACCTTTCGTTTTGGCTTGTTGGACACCTTGGTAGTAATACTCCTTGAATCCGATCGCTCGATTTTCAATCGTAAACGTTCCTGAGTAGGCGGCAACGAACCGGTAATCATAGGAGGTGGCAGAGAGCAGGCCATTTATGAGAACTGAACATAGGAACTTTAGGAACATCATGTTGGTAGTAAAAATAACCGCAAGACATCCGCTGCTCAGGCTTTGTCTACAGTCCTATTCACCGCAGACATTGGGCTTTCCGGAGGGCTGGGTTTCGAGCAGCACGGCGTGTTCTCCACCAACTATGGAAACTGGCAGGCAACCGCAATCGGACCAGAACTGGTCGGCGCCACGCCAAACCTAGCCCCTGGAATGCTTTAGCGTCCGCAGCCAACAAGACTGTACAAAATCTTCATACCTTGACTTCTACATAATCTAACAATTTCAAGATACGAAAGGTGAAAACGGTTCATAGAGCGAATGGGCGTGACTTACCAAGGATAGTTGATACTGAAGGGTCGAACGAAGCATTCGATGGCGATTTCCACCCACTTGTGCCACCTGTCTGGAAAGTGTGACATGTTTACCGTAAGAAACCAGCTTCGAGCTGCTGTTTGGGTTCAAAGCTAATCATTGAAGCTGATAAAGAATAGACTGTATAATTCCTCGTCCAACTGTGAATTTAACCCTTTCTGAAATTCTTGGGGCAGAAATGTACACCGAGAAATGGAAAGCGGAGGCAGCAATACAGATGGGGAAGAATGTGCTCTAGAAGAAGCAGCTTGAACGAGTCTTACCTCTTTATACTGTACAGAAATGACCGATGGTGGTTGCTCGGCTTGCAGACTGTTCCATCGAAGCAACAACGACGATCCGGTCACATTGTCTGGACGGAGCGTTCCAGGGATGTCCTTTGTACGACCGGATGCCTGAAACGACTTCCAAATCAAATTTCGCATAATTAATTTCGTCCTGGTGTGAGTGCCGCCTGCGTGACGCCATTCGCTACGTTGCTCTTTCCGCGTCGCCACAGGCAGGATTTCTTGACTTGCACCAGGGTTTTTCTATACGTGTAATCTTGCAGCTCTGTCACATAAACCTCTTGTTGAAATTGCTTTCAGCGTTCCTCTAAAGAAACTGTGAGTTGCCTGATGGGATTTGTGAATACGACGTGGCCCTGAACGAAGAGTTTTAAAAGAATTTCGAGGATAACGAAGCGGATGTGATGATGCGAATCGATAAGATGACCTGCGATCATTAGACCGAAGCATAATGAATAATCACTGAAATAAGGTTGTACCGCAGAATTTGTACGTCCGTCGCTGGCCTGAGGTTAGCAATCTTTTTGCTCGACACGGGCTTACAAGGCAAGATGCAGAGTCGGAGGTCGTAGGCGAAAAAGCTCCATCTGCGTATTCTTGAACGGCAATACTGGTTGGTGACGCCAGACCAGATGCTTGTTGCGAAGTAATCTAAAAAACAGAGGTTTTTTAGGCAAGAAGCAAGGTTTCAAGCACTTTCTGTTCTGTCCAAAGCACGTGAGGAAAGGTAACACAACGGTTGGGAGAACAAGCAGTCTTGGGCACTGTTCGGCTTGGGAGGGGCATTTTGCGTTTCCGCAACTTCCCTTTGCCGATCTATGAAAACCAACATCCCAGTTTGCTGAAATCTGTCTTTCTTGTGAAACTGCGAAGTCTTACAATGGAGCCACTTTGGTAACGTGCAACTACAGGACTTCACAAGGCGACCTGATTCAGCTTCCCTAAGTCCCATGGACCCACCAAGCCGAACTACGCCCAGTGTGCCTTCTTCACTGGTGTGCTCTGAAACGTTAAAGAGAGGAGGAGTACCGGTGAGGAAGACATTATAGTTGAATGCCTCCACGCCAACAAGCAATGTGTCAGCGTGACCATTTTTCAGCTTCTGCCCTTCCCCCCAATACCTCCTACAAGTTAGCCCCGCCCATAGGTCCTAAGTTAACACACAACCAGAACTGCATACCTTGTACTTGATTTCAGCAATGGGTGCATTCAGTGTTTCGGGAAGATTCCAGTACAGGTATACCGTATCTGGAGTGACAGCAACGGCTTGCAACGAGCGTGGCGCTGATGGGTAACCAAATCTAAATACAGAATTCTCTGTGAGGAAAAGAGTAAGGAGCAAATGAATCGGGCTACCGTACCCAGTTCGGAACGATTTTGGATCCGAAATACCGCTGGCATCCGAGTACCGATTCAGCCACGCTACCGTAACCTCGTAGTCAGTTTCTTTGTCCAAAATACCGTTCTCCACATGGATTTTTTCCGTGTAGCTGCGGATATGCTTCACTTTGTCGGTATTTTTCCGGGTGAAATAGACCTAGAATTTGTGAATTGGAAATAATACTATGCACACAAAAAAGTGATTTATGA